TTTTCAAATTAAAACTTTTGTCTTTTCTGGGTATATACCCAAGTGTGGGATTTCTGGATCATAAAACAACTCTACTTTTTTAGTTTTTTGAGGAAATCTCCATTCTCTTCTCTATAGGGGCTATATAGTGCCAATTTATATTCTCATCAACAGTGTTGGAGGGTTCCCTTTTCTCCACACTTTCTCCAGCATTTATTATTCATAGACTTTGAATAATGGCCAATCTGACTGTTGTTGTTGTTAAGTTGTATAGCTCTTTGTATATTCTGGAAATTAAGTCTTTATTGATCACATACATTGCAAATATCTTCTCCCATTGTGTAGGTTGCTTTCTCTTTTTGTTTATAGTTTCCTTAGTTGTACAAAAGCTTATAAGTTTGATTAGGTTCCATTTATTTATTTTTTATTTTATTTCTGTTGTTTTAGAAGACAGAGAATGCTGTTTTGAACTTGCATTTTAGATGGATTTTAAAAATGTCTAAAATTAAACACATGCTTCCTATTATTGTTGAAAAAATAGAAGGAAGTTTGAAAAGAAATATAATAAATCTTCTGTCATTTTCACATCACCTCTCCTCTGAATAGCCTTGTAATTACACTTGTACAGCTTTTCTTGAACTGACACAAGGATAAGCACACATGTACACTTATAGAGTACTGTTTTTGTCATCTTTCCCTTTAAAAATTTTTTAAAATATTTAAATAATAGATTTTCATGTTATTTTTTTCATCATAAGAAATGTTAAAATGTATAGGTGTAACTTATTTTTAACAGTTTGTTAGAACTTAGGGTGAGTGTATTTATATAATTTATTCACATATATATGTGTGTATACATAACACATAGACACACAAGCTACAAATAAGACACATCCACATATTGATCTAAGCTGGTGACCACTACAGGGATACTGCAGTCAGGAGTTGCTATAGAGTGCTGCATTACCTTCTTTAAATATATCTCTAAGAAAGTAGTGTATTCAATTTAGATTCTTAGGAAAGGAGTTCCTGGATAAAGTGTTTCATACACTAATTATTTTAGTAAGTATTGCGAGATAATTTTCCATTTTTAAAGTTTTTTTTTTTTTACATTTTTTCAAGTTATGTATTAAAGTATCTCCCCAGTCTCATAGGTTAGAGTAATCTAATATTTTCAATCTGATTGATGAATAAATATAACTGTTTTCTAGTGAGGCTGAGCATATTTCCTTTGTGGTTCATTTGGCTATTCTCTTCTGGAAATTTCTAAAAATATTTTTCTCCTTTTATTTGTAGTCATCTGCTTTTGTTGTTTTTATTTTTAGGTCAAATTATTAGTGTTATTAGACATTTTAGGTACATAAAATTTTATCACTTCATTTTATTTCATTGCATTTATTTATCTATTCCATTTAAAAAGTTCTAATTCCTATAATTAAATTTGTAATTTGAACTTAAAAAAGCTACATAAATCTTTTTTCCTTCAGAGCATAGACATTTTTTAAAGTATTTTAGTTCTATCTTCCTGCACCTCTCCTTGGCATTTCTGCTGTAAATTATTTTAAGTTTATCTTGTTTTAAATGTATTCCATATTAGTTATTTAAAAATTTTTATATATGAAAAAATGAAATTTACATTTACCAATTTTTGTCAACTTTTTGCATTCCTTCTCTTTGGAATGAATGTTTTCCTAGCTAAAATTCAATTTTTAGCAATTTGTTTCACATGCTGTCTGAAATTATAATCTTTTTTTAACTCATTCTGCATTGCTATTTTAAGTAAATGCACAATTCTAGTTCTTTGAAAGTTCTTTTTCTTGAGCACTTTGAAGATGGCCAAAGTTATAGAACAGAATGGAAATGTTATAAGCATTAATCATTTAAATTAATTCAATTAAAATAAGTGAGTGTATAAAGAGTGTTGGAAGTTGAATACTTGCCTAACACTGAGTGTCTGACATTAAAAAATGAATCAAGAAAGAAAACCTTAAGAATGTTATTCAAGGTCATGGGTGACTTATGCTTTTATAATCATTTATTGGGTAACTCAGACTGAGTCTTATTAAGAAACAATTAGAATATCAGGAAAAATATGTATAAATCATCTGCTTGAAATTGTTGATAGTTAATAAGATTAGGTGGCAAGAAGACACATAAGAACTACACAAGAATGTCATAATGACCAAGATAACCATGACAATGTGGTTCGTCACCTAGAATTGGACATCCTGGAGTGTGAAGTCAAGTGGTCCTTAGCAAGCATTACTACAAATAAAGCTAGTGGTGGTGACAGCATTCTAGCTGAGCTATTAAAAATCCTACAAGATAATACTGTTAAAGTAATGCACGAAATATGTCAGCAAATTTGGAAAACTCAGCATTGGCCACAGGACTGGAACAGATCAGTTTTCATTCCAATCTCAAAGAAGGGTAATGCCAAAGAATATTCAAATTACTGTACTATTGCACTCATTGCATATGCTAGCAAGGTAATTCTCAAAATCCTTCTAGCTAGGCTTCAGAGGTACGTGAACCAAGAACTTCCAGATGTACAAGCTGGATTCAGAAAATGCAGAGGAAACAGAGATCAAATTGCTAACATCCATTGGATCAAAGAGAATGCAAGGGAACCCCAGAAAAGCATCTGCTTCATTGACCGCACAAAAGCCTTTGATTGTGTGGATCACAGCAAACCACGGCGCAGTCTCAAATAGACGGGAATACCAGACCACCTTACCTGTCTCCTGAGATATCTGTATGCAGATCAAGAAGCAAAAGTGAGAACCGGTCGTGGAACAATGGACTGGTTCAAAACTGGGAAAGGAGTACATCAGGGCTGTATATTGTCACCCAGATTATTGAACTTCTATGCAGAGTATATCGTACGTAATGCTGAGCTGGATGAATCACAAGCTAGGATCAAGATTACCAGGAGAAATATTTGGGTTTTCTTTTTTTTTTTTAAATGAAAGGCCAGTTTTATTAAAAAATAGAAGCATCCTAAGAAAAACCAGTGATATATAAATCATGTAACACATGGTGAATGAGCTACTTTCATCCCAAGAATGAATGTCCATTGTGTCATTTAACCACATTAAAAGGTTAATGAAGAGGATCATCTCAGAAGCAGAAAATTCAATATTCATTCATGATAAAATAAAAATTAGCACTTAAACATGATAAAAGCTCACATTCATTTATAATAAAACAAAAATTAACAGTAATTCATGACAAAACACAAATATTATATATAACATTACTACAACATGATTTTCTCAGATATGCGGATGATACCACTCTAATGGCAGAAAGTGAAAAGAAACTAAAGAAACTTTGATGAGAGTGAAGAGAGTGAAAAAGTTAGTTCAAAACTCAACATTAAAAACACTAAGATCAAGACATCTGGTCACACCATTTAATGGCAGATAGAAGGATAAAACATGGAAAGAGTGACAGATTGTATTTTCTTGGACTCCAAAATCACTGTGAATGTTGACCCCAGGCATGAAAATTAAAAAGATGCTGCTTTTTGTAAGGAAAACTATGACAAACCTAGACAGTGTATTAAAAAGCAGAGGCATCAACTTGCTGACAATGGTCCAAATAATCAAAACTATAATTTTTCAGTAGTCATATACATATGTGAGAGTTGGACCATAAAGAAAGCCAAGTGCCAAAAGATGCTTTTGGCTTGTGGTGTTAAGAGTTCCTTGGACTGCAAGGAGATCAAATTAGTCAATCCTATAAGAAATCAACCCTGAACATTCATTGGAGGGACTGATGCTGAAGCTGAAGTTCCAATACTTTGGTCACCTGATGCAAGGAGCTGATCACTGGAAAAGACCTTGGTCCTGGGAAAGATTGAAGGCAAATGGTGAAGGGGGTAGCAGAGGACAAGATGTTTAGATAGCATCACTGACTCAAAGGACATGAGTTAGAGCAAACTCCAGGAGATAGTGGAGGACAGAGAATCCTGACCTACTACAGTCAATGGGATTGCAGAGAATCAGACAGGACTGAACAACAACAAACCAACAACTTGCTTTTCCCATTTAACATGTCATACAACCTTTAAGTCTCAAGCTTTATATAAAAACATTCAATTCTGGTTTCTCACCTTGTATGGTCCTGAGTTTCTTACTCTAAGATGCGTGACAATTCCTAGACCTCAGACCCTGAGATTTTCATCTAAGTTTGATATTACTCTGGACCGCTTTGATTCCAGCAATTACTTTAAATTCCTTCTTTGTTTTCAAACGGGTGGATTCAATTTCAGCTATTCATTCAACTAAGGAAAACATTTGCGCTTTCTATGGGTTTTACGTGGAAGAGTAGATGTTCTCCCACGTCACCGGTAGCCAGGCATGTTGACCAGATGTCTTCTCTGAGAAGTTACCCCTTTGGTATTTCATGGGCAAACGTGAATACAAATCTTCTATGTAGCTGTACACATTCTCACTACATCCTAAAAACTTACAGCATGTATTCTAGTGGTAATGTTTTTGTTATGCTTAATATCTATTTGTAGCATAGTAAGTTAGGAGACCCTACATGAATATATATATATAAATGTATGTATATACACACCAGTGATTTATACCTGCCTAACACTATATTCATTTTCATTATTACTACCAACATGAGTATTATAAAATAAATAGAAGACCCATGGATATAGGTGCACTATTTTCTCATCCCTTCAACAAATATTTGTCGGATGGCTCTTATGCAGAAAGCACTATTTCAGGCATTTTAAATGAATCAGTGAATAACACAGAAGATCTATTCTTATGATTTATTTTCTTCATGCTAGTGAAAAAAATGCAATTTTCTTGTTTTGGGCAAGTAATATTGGCCAGAAGAAAAGACATCCATGCCGGACTTCAGATCCTCTCCTTTCACACACCTGGAGCTTGGCCTATGATACTCCCTTTTGTAGACTCGCCTAGACTGATCCTATCATTGCTATTTTTATGCTGATGAATAATGATGAGGTTTAAGTGATCTTGGTGTTTTTACAGCTTGGACAATGGAGTACCTTTGGAACCTTGGAAGTTGCAGCTCATGTTGAATCAGAAACAAGGGAGTACTCAGTGGTGACAGAAGAAGACTGTGAAATTCTTAAAATTCCAGCCAATAATTATGCAAACTTAAAAACGGTATGTTTTTGTTGTTGATGGTGGTAGTGTTCAGTCATTAAGTCATGTCCGACTCTGTGACTGCATGGACTGCAGCACACTGGGCTTCCCTGTCCTCACCACCTCCCAGAGTTTGCTCAAACTTGTGTCAGCTGAGTCGGTGATGCCATGCAACCCACCTTGTCCTCTGACGCCCCTTCTCCTCCTGCCTTCATTCTTTCCCAGCATCAGGGGCTTTTCCAGTGAGCTGACCCTTCATATCAGGTGGCCAAAGTATTGAAGCTTCAGCTTGAGAATCAGTCCTTCCAATGAATAATCAGGGTTAATTTCGTTTAGGATTGACTGATTTGATCTCCTTGACTCTCAAGAGTCTTTCCTAACACCACAGTTCAAAAGCATCAATTCTCTGGTGCTCAATTTTCTTTGTGATCCAACTCTCACATCCATGCATGACTACTGGAAAAACCATTGCTTTGATTATAAGGCCCTTTGTTGGCAAGCCAATGTCTCTGCTTTTTAATACACTTCTGAGGTTTGCCATAGCTTTTCTTCCAAGGATCAACCATCTTTTAATTTCATGGCTGCAGTCACCAGTGTGACCATATCTAATCTATATGTTAACACATTATGAGTGTTTTGACTCTCTAGATAGAAGTTATCCATATCTCTTTTAATATTTTAATTTGTTTTGAATTGGAGACCTTAAAAAGAAGACTTGATATACATCACTTAAGCCTTTGATGAATAGTTGAAGTGGAAGGGAAGGTCTCTATGAATATAATTTATTATACATGTGCATTTGGTGCATTTGGTTCTCCATAAATTTAAGATTCATTCATGTACTCTTTTTTTATTCATTTATTCAATGACTATTTTGGGCAACAATGGCATATCACCAACTAGGGATACCAGAAAAATCAGACAGAGATCTCTAAACCTGTATAATCTGCCTCAGGAATAAGACAAAAACAAACAAACTAGGAATTATTGAGTTTCCCTGGTGGCTCAGATGGTAAAATCATTTGCTTGCAATGCTGGAGACCCAGGTTCAATCCCTGGGTTGGGAAGATCCCCTGGAGAAGGAAACGGCAACCCACTCCAGTATTCTGGCCTGGAAAATTCCATACATGGAGGACCCTCATAGGCTACAGTCCATGGGGTCATTATTGGTATAGCGCATGTCAAAATCCAAAACTGCATGAATAGGTGATCACAACTTAACTCTGACCCCCTAATTCTGCTGCATTAGGAAAACTTATTTTCTTCAATTTTAACAATTTATTCTCTTTCATTGAAGTTGAAGAATACACACATCTCGTATTTCTCCTCCCCTGGAGGGTAGAGAAGTCTGTGTAAATGATGGATTGGGGGACTCATAGGGTCATCCTCCATCAGAAATTGTTGATAGGATTTAACCATGGTCTGTGTGCCACAGGCACTGTATGGGCTACAGTGAGATCCTGTGTTGGAAGGGGGTCAAGAGACACCCATCTTCCTGATTTAGGTTGTTAGTAGTTGGGATTTCTTTTGATGCAGTAGTTTCAGTGTTCGTGATACAGAAGACTTTCCCAGGATTCAGTGAAGTGTGAAAGTGTTAGTCACTCAATCATGTCCAACTCCTTGCAACCCCATGGACTGACTGTAGTTCACCAGGCTCCTCTGTCCATGGAATTCTCCAGGCAAAAATACTGGAGTGGGTAACAATTACCATCTCCAGGGAACCTTCCTGATTGAGGGATCAAAACTGGGTCTTCTGAATTGCAGGCAGATTCTTTACTGTTTGAACCACAAGAGAAGCCCGAGATTCAACTTCCTTCCAAATCTCTGGTTTCAGAGTGGCTGGCCTAAAAAAAAGTTTCACACGTTTGGTTTTATTTTCAAAATGTCAGTAAGTATCACTTATTTGATCAAATAAATATTGCATCAAATACAACATTTGAGTGTAGTCAACTATGACAGAGTTCTTTCAGAAATGCTAAAATATTTATAAGAACTTAAAAATAAATGTGAAAGGTTGGAAAATATTTTAGTAGCCAATATGAAGATTAAAATTTCAATCTTTAAGGGTTATATGGTCTTTCTTTTATAAAAATTAAAATAAATTCTATTATAGTTTGCATTCATATAACCTTTATTTTTCTTTTCACTGCCATTTGCCTATGGACAGGGAGGTCTGGAGGGCTGCTATTCATGGAGTCGCAAAGAGTCGGACACGACTGAGCGACTGAACTGAACTGAACTGATCCTTTTGTTTGTCTCTTTTTTAAATTAATTAATATACAAATTTTGATAATGACTTTTTGTTTCAGGAAAAGACAAGACTGGAAAATCAACATAAGGTGAAGTTAATCCATAAGTGTCCATATTATGTGGAGTGGCCTACTTTATCCATATATGAACTAGTTACGTTCACTAAATGGAAAAAATTTCCCCCAGGTCATGGTGAGTTTAATGTGATTTTGGATTACTTTATTTGCATTATATTATTCAAATTTGTAATTTCTCATTTTTAAATATTTTATAAAATATTAAATATAATTATTTTATAATTTAATATTTTATACAATATTTTGTTGTGTGTTTCTCTAATGTATTTAATGTTAACTTTCAGTTGGACATTTAGATTGTTGCTTTTTTAGTTAAAAATCATTCTGTATTGATTCAAAGGGTGATCTCAGAAGTAGTTACTTCCACATCCTCTATTTCTCCCCGCAATCCCTACCCTTCTTGATTTACCCTTGCTGTCAATATAAGGACCAAACTATATGGTATAAATGCAATGAGAAACTATAGTCATTTTTCTGTGTGTGTTATCTTGGAAGAACACGTGCTTAAGTTGCACATTTGCTTGTCTGAACCCATGTGACAAATCATCAGGGAAAATATCATTACAGAGAGTGGTTAAGACTGGAAGCAGGAGCAGCAGTCGTGATGCTGCCGATATTTCCGATATTTGGACCTGCAGTGACGCATGAATATGTTGGATTATATATATGCAAAAAATGTAGGTGGCATTGGGTCATTTTTACAATATTTTCATCTATGAGGAGTGTACTAACTAAGAGATGCCAACTGGTATGGGTTGATTTTGGGTCCCACAAAATTCATATGTTGAAGCCCTAATCTCTTGTTGTTATTCAGGAGCTAAGTCATGCCCAATTCTTGCCACTGCTGGGACTGTAGCACACCAGGTTCTTCTGTCCTCCACAATCTCCTGGACTTGGCTGCAATTCATGTCCATAGATTCAGTGCTACTTTCTAAACATCTTATCCTCAGCTGCTTCCTTCTCCTTTTGCCTTCAGTCTTTCCCAGCATCAGGGTCTTTTCCAATGAGTCGGCTCTTCAGATCAGATGACCAAAGTATTGGAGCTTCAGTGATAGTTCTTACAGTAATATTCAGGGTTGATTTCCTTTAGGATTGACAACTTTGATCTTGCAGGCTAAGGGACTCTCGTAAATCTTCCCTACCAGTTTGAAAGCACCAATTCCTTGGCACTCAGCTTATACGTAGTCCAGCTCTCACATCTATACATCAGTTCAGTTCAGTTCAGTCACTCAGTCATGTCCGACTCTTTGCGACCATTTGGACACAGTACTCTAGGCTTCCCTGTACATCACCAACTCCCAGAGTTTACCCAAACTCATGTCCATCGAGTTGGTGATGCCATTCAACCATCTCATCCTCAACCAAACTGACCTTTTCCAGTCTTGTGGTCACTACTGAGTTTTACCAATTTGCCAACATATTGACTTTAACAGCATCATCTTTGAGGATTTTTAAACAGCTGAGCTAGAATTCCATCACCTCCAATCATTTTGTTCATGATAATGTTTCCTAAGGCCCACTTGACTTCATATTCTAGAATGTCTGACTCTAGGCGAGTGACTGTACCACTGTGATTATCTGGGTTATTAAGATCTTCCTTGTATAGTTCTTCAGTGTATTCTTGACACCTCTTCTTTATCTCTTCTGCTTTTGTTAGGACCTTATTGTTTCAGTCCTTCATGGTGCCCACTCTTGCATGTAATGTTCTCTTGATACCTCTATTTTTTTTTTTGAAGAGACTTTAGTCTTTCCCATTATATTGTTTTCTTCCATTTATTTGCGTTGTTCATTTAAAAGGCCTTATCTCTCCTGTGAAACTCTGCATTCAGTTGGGTATATCGTTCGCTTTCTCCCTTGCCTTTCACTTCTCTTCTTTCCTCAGCTATTTACAAAGCCTCCGCAAGCAACCCCTTTGCCTTCTTGCAAATCTTCTTCTTTGGGATGATTTTGGCCACTGTCTCCTGTACATTGTTATCCCCCATCCATAGTTTTTCAGACACTCTGTCTACCACATCTAATTCCTTATATCTATTCATCTATTCTGCTGTATCATCAAGGGACTTGATTTAGGTTACCCCTGAATTTCCTAGTGGTTTTCCCTACTTTCTTGAGTTTAAACTTGAATTCTAATATGATGCTACTTGGATGTGGGACCTTTGGGATGCAATTAAGTCATGAGAGTGGAGTCCTCCAGAATGGTATTAGTGCCCTTAAAATTAGGAAGAGAAAGAGTTGATCTCTCTTTCTCAGCTGTGTGAATAGACTGTAAGAAGACAGCTATCTGCAAACCAGAAAGAAGGCTGTCGGCAGATAATGAATCTGTTGGCACCTAGTTGTCCCAGCCCCCTAAGTTCTAAAAGAAAATGTTTACTGTTTAAGCCACCCAGCCAATACTAATTGTCATCACAGGCAAAACTAAGTCGCTAATACAAGAGGAACTATGGTAGGTGGGTCAGAGTCTTGGATCTCATTCAATCAGGGATCACTATGGTGTCCGACCTCAAACCTATAGATCATAATTGCAGTGAAGGTTGTGATCAGAAGGAGAACACTTCTGAATTAAGTTTAATACTAAAGTTCTAAAAAGAATGAGTCTAATTTATAAATTCCAAAATGTGACTTTCTAATAACAAAAGTATGTTGAAAAATCTGGCTAAGATGTCATTTGAGGAAGTCACTACATAATAGGAAAGTGAGGTTTAGCATAGCACCATCCAGACGTTTCATTGATTAAAAAAAAAAAAAAAATACCTTATGCTTCAAACTCTGAGTCCCTAATAAACCTGTTCAATTTAGTGCAACTCTGCATCCTTTGCTGAATTTGTTCCAAGTTTTTTTCTGTGCTTGTTTTTATGTATTATTTATCAGAATTGAAATGCAGTGTTTAGCCCATATTTAGCCAAATATTCATTTTATTCTTGCTTATAAAAATTGAATATGATATATTGCATTTTCTATCATAAAACATTTTTTTCCTAATGATGTATTCATTTTTTGGTCAAAAGTCTATTTAGAAGACAAGTAGTAAACTGATTTGTAAAAAACTGGCATTTAGCATTTGTAAAGTCAGTACATGTATAGAATTATTTTTAAGTTGAGTGTTTGGATTTACCATAGGGTCTTCCTTTTGTATTAGAAATATCAACTCTTGGCCCATACTTCAGTTCCAGGGCTATTTTATATAAGAATATCATAGCCTTGCCAATTTATCAGGATGTTAATAGTTCTGAGATGATTTTAAAGGAAGGAAGGAACTGTAGTCAAAGAGTTTTCTCAACTACATGAACCAAAAGGATACGGGGTTTGGAAAAAGGGGAACAATCATGTCTTTCTAATTTATTTGATTACTAATGATGAATAATTTGTGTTTCAACCTAAAATATTTAACTTTAGCATCAAAAAGTTAAGATGGTCCTGACGTGACACATAGTTTCTTAGACATGCTGGGTTCAAGTTTGTTTTTGGTGAATGTATTTTGCACTAATGGTTGAAACTATTAAATTGAAAAATCCATGATTATATTTTGCAAGTCAAAAATTACATTATTCTTCGCTGTTCCCAATTGTCTAAAACTTTCATCCTTATTCTTTTACAGTTAAAAAAAACATTTTTCCTTCTTAGGGAAGAATGGCAATTTCACTAGATGATTCTCAAAACTTCTTTCAGCTCTGAAATACTATGGTTCTCATAAATAAACATACTGAAGAATAAGTTCTTTCAATCTAATTTTCTTTTATGGTGGTGGCAAACATGATATATCAAAGAGAAAGCATTAGATATAATCCTTCTCAACTTTACTCAAGATTTATTTTGAACTTTTATCAGAAAATGTGGAGTGTAGCTCAAATTATACTTTCATTATCTAGCTTCGAAATTAGCAGTTGTATGAATTCCAAAGCATAATTATGTGTGTTTTGATCTTATTTTAGGAAAATATATTGGTGAAGTTTCATAGAGATTTTGTTATTGAAAATCTTGATAGAATTTAACATTAATCCCTGGAAATCTATGATATAAGTAAAGCTTATTTCTGGCTCTGTTCCTCTGTTAACTTAAGTCTTTTTTTCCTTCTGCTTCATTTGCAAAGGGAGACTGAGTATAATGTATGTGTACGAAGTCTTCCCTGGTGATGTTTTTTGAGGTGTGATTGACTGGAAAATGGCAACCAGCTGATCTCACTAATCAACCTATGTCTATGTGTATCATGTGTATAAGAACAAAATGGTACATTCATTAGACATCAATGAACCATTTGTGTAAATTTTATTGTTATCCTACTTATGTCAATATGCTCCATCTTTTCCAGGTTGGGTATGATATAGCAACCATAATAATTAGATATACTAAAAATGTATTATTCAGTTTAGNGGTTGGGTATGATATAGCAACCATAATAATTAGATATACTAAAAATGTATTATTCAGTTTAGTTTTAAAAGATAAAATATGCAAATATAGCAATTATGAAAAAAAAAATCTAGACTTCACAAACCAAAAATGGAGAGTTTTAGCCATAAAATTTCTACCTAATGTTTCTAAATCCCAATTTTTTGACATCTGTCTTTGCAGCTGAATTAACTGTGGAGGGTATCAAAACTCTTAGTCCCAAGGACACTCTTGAGCATCCCAGAATCAGGTTTATGTCTTAGGGTGCCAGTGATTGTGATGTGTTTTTCTTCCCTTTTTTTTTTTTTTTGCATTAAGTGAATATTTTGCAATGTAGCATATTAACTCATTTAATCATTTTAATAGACTTTACTGCTTAAAGAAGTTTTAAATTCACAGCAAAAACTTAACAGGAGGTACAGAGAATTCCCATATATCACCTGCCCCTGATCTTGAATGCTATCCTGATTGCTGAATATTCTACCTAAGTGGTTCCTTATAGTAAATGAATCTGCACTGAAACATCATTAACCAAAGCCCAGAGTTTATTTTAGGGCTCATTTTTGGTATTAGACATTCTGTAGTTTGGACAAATGTCTATTTGTGCACCATTTTGGTATTGTGCAGAGTACTTAAGGCCTTAAAACTTCTCTGCGCTGTACACACTCATCTCTTCATCCTCCCTAAACCTGGCAATCCGTGATCTTTTTACTGTTTTCTTTTGATTTT